CTGAACATTCCCAGCTCCTTCAGCCTCTCCTCATATGGCCTGTGTTCCAGACCCCTCACCAGCTTTGTTGCCCTTCTTTGAACACGTTCCAGGGCCTCAATATCTTTCTTGCAGTGAGGGGCCCAAAACTGGACACAGTACTCGAGGTGCGGCCTCACGAGTGCTGAATATAGGGGAACAATCACCTCTCTGCTCCTGCTTGCAACACTGTTTCTGATGCAAGCCAGGATGCCATTGGCCTTCTTGGCCACCTGGGCACACTGTCGGCTCATGTTCAGCCGAGCATCAATCAATACCCCCAGGTCCATTTCCTCTACGCAGTCCTCCAGCCACACCGCCCCAAGCCTGTAGCGTCGCCTGGGGTTGTTGTGGCCGAAGTGTAGGACCCGGCATTTGGCCTTGTTGAAACTCATCCCATTGGCTCCAGCCCAGCTCTCCAGCCTGTCCAGATCCCTCTGTAGGGCCTCGCTACCCCCAGGCAGATCCACACTTCCAGCCAATTTGGTGTCATCTGCGAATTTACTGAGGGTGCACTCGATGCCCTCATCGAGGTCATCAATAAAGATATTGAAGAGGACAGGCCCCAGCACCGACCCCTGCGGAACACCACTCACGACCGGTCGCCAGCTGGATTTAACTCCATTCACCACCACTCTCTGTGCCCGGCCCTCCAGCCAGCTCCTTACCCAGCCAAGAGTGTACCCATCCAAGCCTCTGGCTGCCAGCATTTTGCTTTACTGGATCATTCAAAATGGCTGCCCTGTCTTTCATTTTCCTCTACACCCTCTCACACACATCCTCGTACTCTTCTCCCCATTACATCACTCTCAGAAGTCCTGTTCCAACAATGCTGTATCTGCTTAAAGACCAGAAATGAGAGATGACACAAATCTATTCTTAACAACCAGCAAACTTGGAGTTTGGTCTAATTCCACATGTTCAAGAGTCTGAGGCTTCCATAGCTGTGGCCATCCGCTGGTCAGGACAAATTTTCATAATGCCTTAGGAGGACCTTCCTTCTCCAATTCTCACAACTTGTTGTTCCCCACCTCTCTGATAAATGTCTGGAGGATGTTCTGGAAGGGCAGCTGATTTCCCAGAGATGTCACTTTAAACAAAACAGTAAGTGAGGTAGGGCTTTTCCTTAAGACTGTGTAGCTTTGAATAAGAGGATACCTCAGATGCACATAATTTAAGGGATAGAATCAATGCAAAGAAAAGCATGGGGACAGCTAGGATGTGGCAAAAACTCTCCAGATTTAGCTTCATTCTGCCATTCTCTTTTAGGAAAGGAGTGCTGTGCAGCAGCCATCAGTATCATGAATGTCACCACAGCCACAGCCCTGCTTCATTCTTTTGGCATTGTCATGTCTAACATCATTCTTATGAAAACTGAATAATGAGAAATGTAGCAGTAATAAGTATTAATTTACTGGTATGAGTCACTGCCACCTACAAGAAACAGAAGAGCTGTCAGAAGACAGTTGATAGAAGTTCACTCATGATGTATAAATGTCTATGATGGACCAAAGCCTGCTTTGAGCTCTCCATGAAGTCCACTGTTCATCACTAATCATTTGACAGACATATTTGGACTCTATGGACTTCTCCAATTTCTTCCCAGAAGGTAAGAAGGAAGGATGGGAGTATGACTTTACCATTTCTCATGCTAAGCAACTGGAAACTGCTCCCGTGAGAGTGCTTATTTATTACTGCTCTGTGCAGTGAAAGACTGACCTAATGAAGCAATACAGAATTGCTGATGTTGGCAATTCTTGTGGTACGAGCAATTTGAACTGCATTTATGAGAACAAAATATTTGTGCCCCCAAAGGCTACCACACAGAGGTGCCCTGCCTGGATAGTTCTATGGTGTAATTTTTATTTGGCTCACCTCTCAAAAGCACATATAATATTTTCAGTTGAACCATTTATGGGTACAACTAAGTTTTCTTTTAAACAAAAATTAAAAAAAAAAAAATATCTGTAGGCATCTCAATAGAATCTCCATTCTAATCATTGTTTTTTTTACTAGTATCTCCAAATGCTAACATATAAGAAATATCTATAATATTGACGTATTAATAAAAAATCCTATATGTGAGGCTAAAACATAAAAGTTTCCTACTCTTTTTGCATCCTACAGAAATTACTAAGAAAAACTGGTGTCTTAACAAAAACCAAGTAACTAAACTGTTTTTTTTTAACAGTCTAGTATTTTTAGCATGTGAAAGAAATTTCAATGAAGACTAGGGAAAACCTGGTTTTAAGTCATAGTTAAAGAGAAGTATGCATCTAAAAAAATAAACAGAGATATACAATTTTTTCTATATAGGTATCTATACTTAGACTTCTATCTTCAGCATCTCAAAATGCAGATATGTAGGTTGCTCTGAAAGTAATGTCTCCTATTTATTTCCATGCAAACTAGAATAGATACAAAGAACACAAAAACACTATTTGATAGAGAGCATTTTCAGCTACAGTATGCTATTTTTCACAAGAATCACAAGAATCACAAGAATCACAAGGTTGGAAACGACCTATAAGATCATCCAGTCCAACCGTCTCCTCGTCACCATTGCCACCACTAGTACTAAACCATATTTCGTCACAGTCGTCACCATTAGCTATGCACTTTTGCCAGAGATGAACAAGAGCCTGCAAAATGTGCTCTTAAAAATCTGCACTGTTGAAGGTGACACACTGTTACTGTTGCCACTGTTGAAATGCACCACCCACTGCCTCACTGTGCTCACATTCAGTGTTCGGTCTCCAGAAACATTCAGCAAGTGTCAGTGAATATCAGTGGTTGTCATTATTTCCTCATGGAGGAATTAAATGATACACCTTTGCTCTATATGCATTTCCATGTCAGATGCCATTTTGTCAGACTTTCCCTCTGCTGCCATCTGTCACTTGGCAACAACATGGAATGAAATAATGAGAGGAAGGTTCAACCACTACTGCCATGCCACCAACATCTGCCTCTGAAGTTGTCAGACAACATAATAAAATAGGAGGCGTTACTTTCAGAGCAGCTCTCATCTTAGTCAGGTGTCTAAATTCCATGCAGTCACTGGAGAGATAAGAGCAGTTCAGATGTAAATATCTATGATACCAATTTTTAATGACAGTTGAGATCATTTCTATAGCCTAAAATTCTGAGAAGTATAATGCCTCTTCCAATATCCGTAAGTATCTGAAACGGCAGAAGCAAGACACTTAGTTGTTACTATTTCCAACAGCCCTCACCAACTCCATCCAACTGTCCACCTATCCAGATATCTATCTCACAAAACTAGAAAGCTCAAAAAGAAGAAATAAAGCCTCCAAGTTAACTTAGGGTGTTAAGACTCCAGACATGAAGGACCAAACCGGTCGTCCCCCAAAACAAACAACAGTTAATTAAAATTTTGTAATGACTGCCTTATTTCTGAGTTTTTATCTTTATGGTGAATGTTAAATGAATAGTGAAAATCAAGCACCTGGGGCTAGAAGCCCTGAAGTCAGTGTGCTACATAGAGATCTCTGCATGTAGCTGTAACCTGTTACATTATGTGGTAAATACAGAGATGAGGAAAATCCTAAAAACTAGCCAGTTTAGCCAGTTGTGTATTCAGAGCAATTGGTGCTGATCTTTTTCCTAGAATTAAACACTTGTACATCTTTTGCTGAAATTGAAAACAACAGGGTCAGGGACTCTGTACCACTTGATACCTAAGGGAATGCTCGAGGGTAAATTTATTCTCCTTCAAATATATTCTAAATGCAAGATGTAGTTGCACCTGAATTTTGTGAGATACGTACACAGGTATCTCAAAAGCATATAGTAATTCAGAAGTACATAGGTACACTGACAACCAGTTGCATTGAGTACCATGTAAGATTCATATGAAGGAACACTATCATCCTGGTCTAAAGTAGGGCAGAAGCATGATCTAGTTGCTGTGCTGATCAGCTCAGGAGTTACTTCAAAACAATACAGGCTTGTAATACATAAAAGAAAAGTATTTAGATAATTTAGATGACACCTAACTAAATTAAGAGGTTAACAAAAGAAAAATGAGCATAAATGCTTGACGTCGTCTGAAGATGACTTTGGGTTTTGACTATGTAAAAAAATTCCATTAAATCATTAAAATTGCAAAAAGGAGAAATTCTGCCTTTTGCTACAAGGATTTTGATACATAATTTTCACCTTTTTCCAGGAACATGATTGCACTATTATTTTAAAGACCATTCTAAAATTGTATGTTACCCTTTCATGTAACACTACACATTGATTTTTTAAGCAATAGGTTAGTATTCAAGAAACTTGATTCACATTAATTTAATTCTAACCAACTTGATTATTTATGTTCCTTCATGGGTAAGTATATAACAGCTTATTGGATACAATTTTTTATTTTTTAAACGAGGTTGATTTAAATAGTAGCTTTTGTGCAAGAGTCGAGCTTTGCAGATATGTCCTTAAAAATATTGGTAGCAAAGATGCTTCTTTCCAAGTAAACAATTTATATTCTCAGATCAGGCTACATCTTTTAAAATTCCAGCAGAAATCAGTAGCCAACTTGCACATACCATTACACTTCAAATTTCCTTGTAAATGACAGTGAAAGTATCCAGAAATTTAAATATATTTTCTGTTAGGCTAGTTGATGTGGGAAGATTTTCATGAGACATTTTCTCTCTTATCATCAGTTCAATGATGTAAACAGTGGCTGATTAAAGCCTGCACTCCTTTCAGGTTGATATACCTGTCTGAAAAAAATATATATATCTCACAGCTGGAATTCTTCCTGAAAACTAAAATAAATGACAAAGTAAAAGACTGATGTTCTATAGATACTTAATGAAGACAGGCTTCAAGGGTTTTCTATGGCAGACATTATAGTACACCCCAGGACGAGACAAAAAGAGTATATTTCTGAAGCTGAAGATTGCAATCACAGCAGAATAAAGAAAATAACAGAACATATAACTTGTTAAATAACTTACACTGGTTTTCCTTTGGATTCACAAGTCAAAATTATAGATTGTCCTTCTTCAGGCCACGAATTAGAAGAAATGATTTTAACTAAAGGTGTATCTAGAAAGAAAAGAAAACAGACATCTTGTTGATATACATGAGAAAAAAGATTATCCATGAGTACATTATTCTCTGCTTACTAAAGACTACATCCTAGATTTAATTTAGACTTGTATATGCTTTTATTTGAACACTTGCACAGTTTTCATTGTCCTCAGGAAGGCAACAAAATTGACCAATGTAAGCAAAATTGACCAACTGTAAATTTTTATATTCCAAGGAAACACAGATAGAAAGCTTGTTTTTACTCCAAAGAAATAACCTTCTTTTTTTTTTTTCTTTCTACATTCAGTGCAATTGCTCCCTAGGAGTATTCCAAAGTGTAATATCTAACAGTGAATAGCAAATACTCTGGGCAATTGTTTCTTTGTCTATTTATAGGTAGATATGATGGAATGCTGCTATTAAGGGTATGATACAATAATATACATTTTAATAAGAACAGTTTTACTTTTGCAAAAGCTTGAAACCATAATAAGAAAGCTACAATGGGCTTCCAGATAAAATACTTTGTTATGGGCATTTTACAGGATATTATTTCTAAATTGCAATAATGTTGTCCCTAAAACAGAACTTTTTTTTTTCCATTTGACTTTTTTTTTTCAAAAAGAATGTTTCAAATACCAATGAAAAGGTCTATAGAAAAATTTTCAATCTGTCCAAAAATCTTATAAGTATTACTTCTATGTAATGGAATTAATTTATAGTTGTGACTTCAAAACAATATACAATAAAAAACTGTGAATTAAACCTGAATAAAATATTTGTAGTAAATCTTTAACTTGTAAAACAGTTTGCCATCTGGTTTGCAAGGATACACCCTCACAAAGAAAATATTTCATATGAATTAAAGGGGACCTATTTTAAGGAGAAGAAAGGCCATATAGAAATAAACATTTACATACATAGTATTTTTTCCTTAAGAAAAGGAAAAAAGAAATCAAAATAATAGTAAGGAAATCTTTCATACTCAAAAGGAAAATACAGCCCTTTGTTTCCTGTATAGTTTCCTCTATGCTACCAAAAAACAAAAAACAAAACAAAAACAAACAAAACAAAACAAAACAAAACAAAAAAAAAACACCAAAAAAAAAGTATTTACCCTGAAAATCTAGGTTTATCCAACTTTTATTTCATTCAGTTTGCAATTCCTATTGTTTTAGTAGTGGGGTAGCAGGGAGAAGACAAATAACCTTTTATCAAGGAAATATGAAAGGCAAGATAGCATGACACTACAAAATCAAACAAAATGTGATATGCTGTTACAGTATTATTTCTTATTGTAATGCTAAGAGTTCTATTAAATACTAAATGGTATAAACAAAAACTTCTTCTATCTTTGGCTTTCATTTTTGACATATCACAATGTATCACTATGGTACAAGACAAGAAAAAGGGCTTAGTGTACACTTGTCATAATTCCACTGAAAGCACTGTCAACATCGTTTAGATTTCAGCTGCTCCAACCTTACACCTTACAAATCTTTTTCAAAAGTTTGGCTTTGTTATGAAGCCTGGAAACCATTTTGCAGGTGACTAATCCTGCACAGGTCACGCAGGCATTTGCTTCACTTTTAGTTCATGCTTATGGCACTGATCTCAAGTGCCTAAATAAATCAGGGCATCAAGTACTTCTGCAATTTTAGTGGTGTTGTAGGAGATTAAAGTATTACCCTCTTCACTATGCACTGGACCAGAGGAACAAATTATTATCAGATAGCAATATGTGAAGACTTTAACTGAAGTACTGAGACAAGATATTTCCAAAAAAACTTGAAAGGGAACTAAACTTTTATGGAAGTAACCATGATTGCTGCAAGTGAAAAAAGAAATGAAAGGTTCAGCTAGCTAGCATTACTGGTTTATATTGAAAAGATGATCAGCATTTCACACATTAATGTAAATGACCCAGAGAGGGGATTTCAAACAATTAAACTTATATTTGCGTGGATCAGTGCTGTGCTGTTTTTCCTTACTCAAAGTTTCCATTCCTGATTTATTCAGTGCTCCAGATAGTGCTCTGTTCTTCATGTGCCTGTAAAGAGAACTTACTAACAGGACAAGAAAAGTCTTATGTTTCCAATGAACCGTAAGATAATATGAGAAATAATACTCTTTTGTGCTTTCCCTGCTTATTGTACACTAATTGATTGTTCCTTTAAAACAGGAAACACAGCAATTAATCCAATACATAGTTTTTAGGAAAGCTTACACTTCACAACTTCTGTATTTGATTATCAGTCCTCTAAAAAAAAAAATAGTTGATATTCTATTTTCATAGAATCATAGAAGGCCTGGATTGAAAAGGATCTCAAAGATCATCTAGTTTCAACCCTCTCCTATGTGCAGGGTCACCAGCCACAAGACCAGACTGCCCAGAGCCACATCCAGCCTATTTTGATTTTTTCTGAGCGTTAGTCTTCCCACTTATATTTTTTATGTTTTCCTTGATTTCTCTGCAGAATTAAAGCATGCACTTACAAGGAGAATACTTTTAAGACCAAGTCAAAAACTTCCTCAAAACTAACCTAAAAATGCTATTTTAACAAATATAAAGATTGCCTGCAAATTGGGGTATTTCCAGAATATAAAATGCTCTGTTTTAAAATATTTCCTCCTGTTAGGACCACTTGTTTTAGAACCATTTGATGTCTGAATGTACTTTATCAATACACCAGGTTTTAACTGTTTCACCCATAACTGTTAATCATAGCAATATGAATATTACCTAACCTTCAGAAAATACTTCTACCACCAGGAAACAAAGTCCAAAATAAATAAATGAAAACGGTAAGAAAGAGAAACCGTAATGTAATGCAAGATGAAGGCTTATTTTCAGACATGCTTGTCAGGTTTTTATTTGTAGGTACGTTTAAAAAAAACCCAACACATTATCTCCTTTTGCACTTAAAACAAATAATTGAAGGAGGTTCAAGGGTTATACTGTGGGTCAGATCTTCCACTGCTTCTCCACTAAGTCAGTAGAAGCATCCCAATTTATTCATTCAAACCTTAGGAAAAATCTAATAATTTGCATCTTTTCAGGATTTGGCCCAGTAAGTTATTATAAATAAAATACTTAAAATACTGTAGACTGGTATTTAAAACAGAATTCTAGGAATTATGACTAAAACTTCTTACCAGTACCCATAAATATGGATTTATTCTGAGCTCTAAGGACATTACGGAGGAGAAAAATATTCCAAAAAGACTAAAAAATACCCCACTCTAAGAAAAAATGCATTTTGTGTGAGTGTAGATCACAAAGCAAGCCTTAAGTGTAAAACAACTTGCTCAGTTCTCAGTGACCCATTTATTCACATGTAACTCCAACAGTGTGAAAGCTGTTTGGCCCAAATCAAGCCTTCTTGATTTTGAATAATGAGGTACTTATGAGCTGCAATTGATAGCACCAATGTGAACTGAGACTCAAACATATCTTTAGACATATGGCAAGATATCTTCTACCTCGTATGTGCCAAGAATCTGCCCTTTTGCTAGAAATTAGAGTATAACACTGATTATCGATAAAACTAAGAGATGTAATTTTTAGATGCAGCCTTTCTTCTTTCAGACTAAAGGCAAAAGTTTCACTGAGTGATTCTATTTCTTTTTTTTTTACCAGCATTCGAGCACATCTCTCTGCACAAAACCGGAGAAGCCATTTAAAAGCTTTGAGACTTGTCTATTTTTTAATCAAGCAATATAATCTTTATTCACTCACATACAAAATTAGTGAATGCATTTGGAAAACTGATTTCAGTTATTCAGGTAATTAATGTTATCTGATATATAAAGAAATTAAATGCTTTAGCACAAAATTTTTGTTTTCCTCTTAGCAGCTATTAATGGCAAGTTAATACCTTACAGAACTGTTTTAATGATTAATGTAATTTCATTGAAAATTTTTCAAAATAAAAGTGGTCCTTATCACTCACCAGACCTTTGCAGTTAATCAGATCTCCAATGTTTAAATGTTTTATTTGGGCTTTTTTGTTCAAAATGCACTTCACGTTTTTGCATTGCTTGAAGTAAAAAAAGTTAATTCTCTAAAGCTGTTATAAAGTTGCAAGCAGGTTTAAATATTTTCATATAAATTATTTCATATAAAGTTTTTCATATATGATCACATACAAGCCACTTGAATATTCCTGTCTGATAAATTAAAGCCTCTGTGTAAGTCCTTGACAATCACAGGGTAAATGCAGAAACTGAATGCATAAAAGAAAGTAAATTTGTTTAAGATCATAAGGCAGGTCAACAAGTGAATAGGAAAATGAATCCTTACTAGCTTATTTTTGCTCCCAAGATCATTAGAAATAATTCAGCCTGGTTTTGCTATGGAACTTCAGAAGTCCTTGGTTCCTCTGTCCTTAACAAGTTGGACTATCAGAGCTTCTGTGGATACTTTTTTTCATGAAACTTCCAGTTACTGGGTGAGTAGCTACTATGCTGCATGATCTCTATTCATCCTTAGGCATTAATCAGCAAAAGGTGTGTGGAAATGACTAGATTTCAGAAGAAAAATCATTTTGTAAATAGGCAACATGATAATAATATGGTAACTATGCTATGACATCAGTCTCTCCCTGCTGCAACAATCTTCAGTTAATGAAATTATAATCTTAGAAAAGAGCACTTCTTTTCTTGCCTAATGTTACAATGTGAGAAATACATAGATTTTGATGCTTTGAGGCTTTTAACAAATGACTTTTGAAAGGTAAATTCAGGACTAGAAAATTTAGTGATCTCCTCCTGGTCATCAGAATTAAAATAATGTTAGAAATACACTGACTCAAGATGCATGCATCATGGTGTTTACTAGAGAACATTGGGATATATATGTTTTATTGTAATATAAGCAATACTTGCCGCTACAGTTCACTACACATTTTGTTAAGAGGCAAATCACACTGCTTAAAGCTTAGCTTTCCCTGTGCTTCCAGTGAGAGGAGGATCAGAAAATGTCTTAGTGGTTCTTTTCTGCAGAAACTGTATTA